CACCCCGTTCGCCTTGCCCTTGCCCTTGTCCTCCTCCTCCTCCTCCTCCTCCTCCTCATCGCTGCCGCTTTCCTCATCTTCACTACTGCTGCTGCTGCTGCTGCTGCTGGACGAGGAAGAGGAGGAGGCAACAACCGCCGCAGCCGCAGCCGCTGCCGCCTTGGCCTTCTTCACCTTCTTGGTGTGTGCCACGTCCTCCTGCACGTCGTCACCCCCGGCCTTCGCCGCCTCAGCGGCAAGCCGCTTGCGGTGGGCGTTGACGATCTCCAGGAGGTCCTTGCAGCCTCCTCCAAGCGCCGCCTGCGGAGGGGCGTTGTGTGTTACGGCAAACACAAAAATGAGACCATGTTCACCACAAGCCAATGATAATAGGCGTGAAAGGTGCGTCAATGTGACGCATATGCGGCAAGATAAACCGAGAGCACATCCACCACAAGCCACTACTAATAGGTGTGAACTGCGCGTTAATTGTACGCGTTTGCGGCAAGCACAAAACGAGACAAAAACGAGAGCATGTCACCACAAGCCACTGATAATAGGCGTGAACGGTGCATCGATTAGCGTTTAGATGCATAGGGCAAGCACACACCGAGAGCCTGTTCACCGCAAGTCACTGTTGATAGTCGTGGACGGTGGGTCAATTTCTCGTACGTACGGCAAGCACAAACCGAGAGCCTGATCGCCGCAAGCCACAGTTAATAGTCGTGAACGATGAGTCAAATCCACACATATACTTTACGGCAATCACAAACCGGGAGCGTGTTCACCACAAGCCACTGTTTAATACTCCTGTAGGAACCACACCGCTACCACCAGCAGCAGTAGCAGGGCCGGGGGGCACCGCTAGTTCGGTCGGTGGTACCATACATGGCGACGGGCGATGCCGAGGGGCATAGCAGACGCGGGGGGCAGCAGCAACACACCTTCCGGACAGGAAAGCAAGGGGGACAAAGGGCCGCACGACAAACCGTCGCACCACCTCCCCTCGACAACCATCTAGCGCGTCATCAAAAGCATACACATCACCACCAGCTGACTTTGGTGGTGGGTGTAATCGTTCACACAGCAGTGTGTGCTGGGCGCCGGTGTGCTGCGCTAGAGCGGTCGATGCGATAGCGAGGAAGGAACACCGGCACATGCACAAACCTGTTGCTTCCCGAGCTTCTTCGCGCTCTTGCCGGTCTCCTCCCGCAAGGCTGCCGCCGTGGCCGAGAGCCCGCACTCCTGGCGACGGGCGAAAAATCAGAAGGCGATGTGAAAGACAAAATATTGCTGTACCTGTGTGTGGGATGAGCGCCAAGAGCGCAGACTTGAAGTCAACAAGGGGGGTTACGTCAGCGGAGGATCAAGGCGTTCGGTGCTCAACAAACAGCAACACCGGACTCATGCGGTCCGTCATTTGGGGAGCAGGATAGGATATACCCCGCAACAGGTTATACGCTGTTCTACCGGCCGATACCACAGGATAGGATTATCCCCCTCAACTTTCAGGAACAAAACAAACGGACCGTAACGTAAGGAAAGTTCCGGGCTGGTGTCTATGGGTGTGCTGCAGCAGTCTGCTACCGTTTTGTTGTTCTTGGAGCTTGTCCCTTACGGCGGTCGGTAGAGCAGCGTGTAACTGTTGAGGATAGGTACTGTGCTGCAGCAGTTTATTGCAGTTTTGGTGTTCTTGGAGCTTGTCCCTTACGGCGGTCGGTAGAGCAGCGTGTAACCGTTGTACCTATCCTCAACAGTTACACGCTGCTCTACCGACCGCCGTAAGTACCTATCCTGAACAGTTACACGCTGTTCTACCGACCGCCGTAAGGGACAAGCTCCAAGAACAACAAAACCATAATAAACTGCTGCAGCACACCCGTAGACACCAGCCGGGAACTTTCTTTGCATTAAGGTCCGTTTGTTCTGTTACAAAAAGACGTGGCAGCAACGTTTTGCCTTTGTTTTGTTTTTTCACCAACTATGAATGGTGGTCGAGTAGATTATGTCGGGGGGGATCGAGAACCCACACTCCGCGCAAAGGGTATAATCGCACCACGTTGTGTTATATTGGTCAAGCACCCTGGAGGCAGCTACACAGTGCTTACAAAACTGTCTCTGGAAGTGAAAGCACCAGAAAATAAATTAAGTCATACGCAGCTGTCATGCGTACACGCAAGGAAGTAAGCACGAAATGCCGAACACCCTTAGCAAGATGCAGCGCACCCTCCATGTGACTCGCCGAATACCTCACGGCGCTTCGCGCTTGGTGATGTGAGAGCCTGTTCCGGTGAGAACCCGGCGTGCTCCGTCCCGGCTTTGTAGGGATGCGAGGTCAATGGTCTAACGACTACGGCATGCACGACTATGAGTGCACCCCTCCACCCCCCACTACTGCTGAAGAAGGATCACAACAATGGAAAGACGAACCTACCGTCAAACGCACCAAGTACAGGAGAAGTATGGCAACACCGGGCTGATATTCATGAACGAAAGCAACGGTCCGCACGACGAGGCCCATCGCTAGGTACGTGATACATGTATTTATATATATATATATTTCTTTTTTCTCCCGTCATTGGACTCTGTCGTCTGCCCCTCTGGCCCCTATCCTCCACTTCTACCAGCTAGACGACCCACCCGGGGTCACATTGGAGGGGGCGGTTGGACCCCCTCCTGCGGTTCCTGCCTGAGATATTTTTATCGCGAGAAGGGTACAGCAATCCCTTCCTCAAGGCGACTGTTTTTGGTGGTTTTGTTTTTTTTCTCTGCCGGAACAGCATTTTTTCTCACATTTTCTTCTGTATGGCACTCACAGGACCCGCCAGTACATTACCCGTTGCGTGTGGGGCTTGCTAGACTTCGGTGCGCGTGATGGCTGCCAAAAGTCGCTGGCACTGGCTCTATTCCAAGTCGCGATTCCGAACCAAAAAAGCCTCCATGAAAACCGGAACCAAAGTTCTATGTAAGCGGGCTGTTGTTCTTTTCGCACTCATGACGGCAACAGCACAAGCAGCAAGTAGTAGACATCCACACAGGAACACGGTGCAAACGAAAGGGAAAGCAGTGGTGTGTGGTAGAGCAGCAATATGGTAAAACGCGCAGCGCGGCTATTGTAAAACGCGCAGTGCGGCTGTCGCACACAGGCACACGATGCGCACTGAGTACTGCTGTGGTGCATCACAACATCAGTGCAACAACCGTAGTTGGTTCCGGTAGGCCGTATTTCTCGCAGTCCACACACACACACATCACGTTCACCCGTTGTAGACGCCACACAAGGCGGTGGAAACTCAACATGGTGCAAACACAAAATTCAGCAGTAGTGTTGTGGTGTAGCAGAATTCGCATTATTACTAAACGAGGCTATCGCAGGTGTCATGAGGTTCACACGCGTAACTACCACTCAGATCCTTGTACTAAAATCCCATATCACGAGTTCACCCCGAGGTTCGCATATGCAGATACATTGAAACCCCAAGATATGGCCCCGGTCAAATCTAAAATTCGAAAATCGAAGGTGCGACACTCCACAACTTAACAATTCGCCCACACCTCTACATCAGACGGGCTGAGACAATCGTCGTAGGCACGGATGTGAACGTACTAACGACAGGCGAGGAGCCAAGCAACGGCACCGACTGCTGCGGGCGGTCCCCCCGATGGCGCGGCGACAAAGCCGCGGCGGCAGTCCTGAGCTCAGGAGCAGTTAGGGATCCAGCCGACTGCGCATTACGAAGAGCAGTCTCCTCCTCCCCCAACATCTGAAGGCCACAGGTGAAACGGCTTCCCGGCCCGTTTCACCTGTGGCCTTCAGATGTTGGAGGAGGAGGAGACTGCTCTTTCCGGAAGCCGTTTCACCTGTGGCCTACAGATGTTGGAGGAGGAGACTGCTCTTCGTAACGCACAGTCGGCTAGATCCCTAACTGCTCCTGAGCTCAGGACTGCCGCCGCGGCTTTGTCGCCGCGCCATCGGGGGGACCGCCCGCGGTAGTCGGTGCCTTTGGCGACTTCATTCGGCAGTCAGTACCCCGATCGAGCCCCAAAGAGCGGTGAGGGGGGTGTTATCTTACGTTCGACACAAAACATGTGCACGGAGCACAAACTACATACAGTCTTCCGGTTTTTGAAACAGAAGAGCTACAGTCATTCCAAGCGCGTCCCGAGCCGATGCAGCAGTACACACAAATGATGTAGCGGGAAGCATACCCCGGCCACAGCAGTCAGTGGCTTTGCTCCCGCACAGCGAAAGTGCGTGTCTGCCGCCTCAGAAGCATGTGCACCACCGACCTCTCGTCTAATACGCTATGAATCTCAGGGCAGGGTACACGTGAGGCCCAGGAGCAAAATAGTTACGCTACCTCAATACTGCTGTCGACCTATGACAAGGTGTCTCACGAGCTGTGCAGACACCAGGGGACATGGTTCTGCCGAGAGCCGAATGTTTGCAGAGCGGCTTCCGCGAGACTTGATTCAAAAACTGCACGGCTGGAAATCCTCCAACAGGCCTACAGCCAACGGACCGTGCTGCAGGAACTGGCCACATGCTGACCGAAAACACAACGCATACCGCAAGGGAGGGCTATGCTCCGTATTCGTCACTAGAAGCAACGTCTCACCAAGAGGAATGAGTGGACCAGAGGGTGAAGAGCGCTGGCAGGGAGATCATCCACAGCTGCTGCTGCTGCTGCTGGAGCCATGATGATGCAGCCGGGAAACTCACTTGCAGTTGTTTGCTGGTGTGGTAGATCACAAAAGCCTAGACTGAATTCTGTGGCATTTATGGACCAAGCCCGGCAAATCGAACCCGCACGTCTCTCTCCTCCCTTCTCTCTCTCCCTCCCTCTCTCCCTCTCTCCCTCTTCGCACTGGAGTGCTGCGAATACTCTGTGGTGGTGTGGTGGGCAAGCAGCGTCCACGATCCCTCGCTGCGAAAAATAGGGTTTAGGATGTATGGAGGCATCCTCCGGCACTGTCATATTTTCATGGTTATCTGGCGGTCACGCCGACCACAGGCCATTTCTCTCTCGCGCGCGGCCTGCTCTCGCACCCACCCCATAGCAAAAGAGAGAGAAGGGAAGCACACAGATTGAAAGGGAGTGCTGCAGTTGTGTACTCCGCTCCTCTGGCTCAAAAAGGAAAGATGGGGAAAGCGAGGAGACAAAAGAGTCACACCCAGGCCGCGAGAGCCGCAGCAGACGCCGGCACCGCCGTCGCGAAGCAGCAGCAGCAGCAGCAGCAGCAGCAGCAGCAGCAGCAGCCTCTCCAGATGGATGCCAAGGCAGGGGGTGTGCTCGACGGCCTGACGAGCCTCAACGCCCTCACGAGGGAGTCGTCCTGCGCCGCCATCGCCTCCCTTTTCGAGAAGGTCGACGGCCCGGAAGCCGGGGGCGAATCCTGGGCCGCAGCGCAGAGGCTGATCGCGGGCGGGCTCGTGAAGAAACTGCTGCCGCGCATGGTCGACCGCGTGCCTGGGGTCAAGCTACAGGCCATCGGCGCCATGAGAAATATCAGCGCCGTCCGCGACCCGCGCATGTGCGAGGTCCTCGTGCATGACGATTGCTTGACGCCGGTGCTCACCCTGCTCGACCGGATGTCGACGGCGGCCGCCGCCGTTGCCGGCACCGCCGCCTCCGCACCACCACCAGGGGCAAATACACCGAAGACCGGCAACGGCAACACGCAACAGCAGCAGCAGCAGCAGCAGCAGCAGCAGCAACCCCAGCCGGCTCTGGTGATGACCGCGGAGGAAGAAGCGGTCGTTGTTGCCCAGCTCGTGGCGACTCTGTGCAACTTGCTCGCGGCTGTTGATGTCGCCGTCGGGAGGTTCACGCGACAGGGGGGTCTGCAGGTTGTCATGCGGCTGCTGTTAGCGGAGGGTTGCCGGGGTAGCTCAGAGATATTCGGCGGCGCGCTGCAGGTGTGCGTGTGTGCTCGCGAAGACTGCTACTGTTTTTGTCAGGTGTACGGCTCTGGTCGCTGTGTCACCGGGAGGCGTGGGTTCGACCAATCCCTGGCTCGCGCTTCAATGTACATGCAATGATGATTGCTTTGCTAATAAAACAAGAATTCGACGGTCGAGTAAACTCCGGGTAAAACACTTGGCATAGCGCTTAAGCGCAAGAGCGGTTGCATAGGCCTCGCGGCGCCTCTAAACGTAGGCGTACCTTCACTATCCGCCTACGCACACACATGCACCATCCCCCCCATCTGCCTTTGCTTTCCAGGCTCTGCACGTAGCGACCGACTCCAACGAGGACCTCTCGCGCCAGCTGGCGGCCCAGCCGGGAGCCATCGACCAGATCTCGGCGCTCGTCCAGGGCGCGGACGTTGCCCACGTCAAGGTCTCCGCGTCGATGCGAGTGCAGGCGGCCGGGGTGCTCGTCAACGTGGCGGGCCTGTCGTCGGGCGGCGAGGCGGCACGGAGCGCCGAAAACCAGGCGGAGCTAATCCGGGTGGTCCTGCCGCTGCTCCTGAAGCAGATGACCTACGACCCGACCGCGCTGCAGCAGGCGTGCGTCGCCCTGGCCCTCGAGAAGCAGCCGGCAACACCGGGACCGGCGGCGGGAAGCGCGGAGAGCAGCATGGACGTGGACGGGGAGGCAGGAGCCGGCGCCGCCGCAGCAGCAGCCGGTGCGGCTTCCGCCGCTGCGCCAATGCAGATGGAAACAACTACGACCGGCGCTGCAGCGGGGGCAACAAAAGGTGGAGGACAGGAACTGGCTCAAGGGACGGAGTCCGAGAACGACGGAGCAGCAGGAAACGACTTGGAAGGCAGGGAGGAGAAGAAAGAAGGGGCGGTGGTGGACCAGCGGGACAGGGACAGGGACGCGCAGCTCCGCTGGGAGTGGAAGCTCGCCGTGGCGGAGCCGCTCAAGCTGACGGCAGAGGTCATGACGAACCTCTGCGCCCTGGCGTCGGGGGACGGGGAAGAGGAGGAAGAGGACGAGGAGTGGGGCTCCGATGACGAGGACGCAATGGAGCAGGCCGCGTTCGGCGGTGCCGGGTGGCAGCAGCAGACGCGCGAGGGCACGCTCACCGCCGTTCTTCTCGAGGCCATGGCGGAAGGCGGCGCGCTGCAGCGGACCCTCACGACCCTCCAGGCCCTCCTCGCCCCGACGCCGAGAGACCGGCAACGCCAGCAATCAACGGTGGCGATAAGCGGCGGCGGCGGCGGCGGTGGTGCGGCGGGAGAAGCGATGACACCACCACCGGCGGCAACGGCCGAAGGAGCAGCAGCAGCAGCGGCGGCGAATACGGATGATCGGCTTGCGCTTCCCGCGGGCGTGGCCGGTGACCTGGCGGACCTGCGCGCCACGGTGGCCCTGTGCGCGGCCAACCTCGTGCAGAACCTGCCGGCGAAGGCCCTCGGCGAGAACCCTCACGCGCTGTGGGCGGAGCTGTGCGGCATGTGCGAGGCGGCGACGGAGCGAGCGCCGTCCTGCGTGGAAACCGTCACCGGCGTGATGTGGGGGCTCGTGCGACGAGCCGGCCCCGTTGTCGCCGCCGGAGTCCGGGCGGCGACGGCGGCGGCAGCGGCGGCGGCAGCGGCCCCAGAAGCAGCAACACGGGCAGGAGGAGGACCCAAGCCTTCCGCGGACCCTCTACCCCTAATCCTGCGTCTGTGCGACCCCGCGGTGACGCGTGCGTTCGAGGCGCGGGTGAACGCGGTGGGGATGCTGGGGGCGCTGGGATCGGCCGCGACGGGGGCGGCAGTAGCGGGAGAACGGACGGCGGCGGCGGGGGGCGCAGATCTAGGGCTTGGTCGCGCTCTGGTGCAGGCGATGGAGGACCCGCACGTGCTCGTGCAGGCCGAGGCCCTCAACGCCGTGATGGACGTCTACGGAGATGATGGCCTGGACGCCGCCTTCCGTGCGTCGGGGGCGCCGGCGGCCCTGGCCGCGGGGGTGCCCGCGTTCCGGAGGAAGATGAAGCAAGAGGGCAAGGCGCTGGGGAGGGACGCCATGTGCCACCTGAAGGAGACCGCGCTCAACGCGGGCCGATTCGTCAAGTACAAGCAGGCGTCGGAAGGGGCTTCCGCGGCGGGGGGCAAGAAGAGAGATGGCCGATGATGATGTTTTGTTTGTTTTGTTGTGCTGCGTAGTTGCACGCTCCTGCGGTGGCGTCTTTTATTGTCTGGACGTGAAGGTTCGCCGATTCTACACCACACCGTACTAGGCGCGCGACATTGTCTGCTGTGTTGTGCGGTGGAGTGTGAGATGCTTCTTGTATGGTTTGAGTTTCGTGTCGGGACTTGAAATGTCTTGTCGTCTGGGCTGTAGATATTATATGCATCAGCGCTCTGGTTCTGGGTCCGGTACTCGTGTGCCCCAGTTCGGTTCAAGCCAAGAGTACAATAAAAACCCTGGTTTTGCTGCCGTTGACGGAAGGAGAATGCCTGTGGAAGCATCGTGTGAACGGGCCACGGGCTTCTGCTTGCAGGCGCGGCAGGCGCGCTAGTTTTTGGCGCTAAATGTTGTAATTCTTCCAAGCAGAGAAGGTGGCCGGGGGGGTCCCCTCGTAGGTGTGCGTCAAGCAACCGTCGGTAAAAAACCAGCGTTGGGCTCTCGGCTTCTCTGTTGATCCTTTGACAGCTCATATCTAGGTGCACGTCGCGATGCCAAGTTTGGCTGGCATCGTTGCCGTATTTGCGCCCTCACAGGCCCGTTTGCAAAAGTTAAAGTTCCCAAGAAACACGCGACGTGTGGCGAAACAAGCGCTTGTAGGGTATCAGGTACCCTGCCCCATGCGCTGCTAGCCACCTCATCCTTCAAACACCCACTGCCACGATTTATCGGCGATGGACACTATCACATTATTACATCCCACCTCCTGCAACCGTTTCATCAGCTCCCATCGAGGCTTCACGCTCGTGATAGGTTTCTCCCTGATGCAGATCGACGCGCTTTCAAACATGGAAGTACGATGTGCTTGGACTCGGGGAAAAACTAGCCAAACAAGCTGAAGACATCCATCGCGTGCGTCTAGACTGGAGCGGTGGAATCCTGTGCTTTGCCACGCTACAGCAGGCTCAGCGATTCGTGGTCTAGACTCAAACAAGGCATCATTCGTTTCAACATCTGGGTGTGCGGAATGCCCTCTCCCGTTATTCACCCCTTTCAACGGGCCGATCAGATACGCGGAGGGGAGGGGGGGGTCGTAGGAGAACATCACAGCGAAGCGAGGCGAAACACCTGCGCCATCTCCTCTCAGCAATACTGCCAAGGATGAGATGTGAAAAGGAAGGTATGGCAAATAGCGGCACTGCATCGGCACCTTTTGACACATCTCATGCCCAGGACAGGCAGGAAGGACAAGAAGCGAATAAAGGATGCAAGGGTGTGTTGGGAAGGGTACGGATACGTTGGGTATGGGTACGGGTACTGTACCCAACGTACCCAGAATATAGGTACGGGTACGGGTCCTGTACCCAACGTACCCAGAGTTTGGGTACGGGTACGAGAGTCATACCCAATGTACCCGGGTAACCCAGGTAGATGATGCGTGGGTATGGGTATTTTGGGTATGGGTACGGGTGTGGTACCCATATTTTGGGTACGTTGAGTACGGGTACGAGAGGTCGTACGCAACGTACCCAGAATTTGGGTACGGGTACGAGAGTCATACCCAACGTACCCAAACGTTGGGTATGGATACATACCCGACAACTACCCGAATTGTACCCGGGTACGTACCTTACTCAACACACCCTTGAAAAAATGTACCGAGTGCACAGCAGTATTGGTATTGTACTTTCAACACGTACGGAATCACATTGGATATGGACAGGCACATACTTTAGTTAGTGACAAGAAAAGCGCCTTCCGCCAGAGCAAGGGTCACCGACCGGCACAATGAACAAACAAGAGAGCACAGCACGACCAATACAAGGCAGGGAGAGGGGCTCGCTTGGTGCCAAATAAGACTTCCTACAGGTAAACCCAACCACACTGGCGGCACACCGCAACCTCGCGATGTGCCTCTCAGTATCGGGGCCTTAACCCAAGGCCGCCATCCAATACCACCTCCACCCCCTCCCTCTCAATCTCGAGGCCCGCCGCCCTCGCTGCCTTCCGCCGCCAGGAGCGCCGCGGATTCCGCCGGGTACCCGGGGTACCGCTGCCCCAGATCTCGCCTCGCCTCCGCCTCCAGCTGGAGCAGCGCCTCCTCCACCCTTCGAGCAATCCTGCTGTACAGTTGCCGCTCCTCGCGCGTAGACCTCCAGAGGACGTCCCCTTCGCCGCCCCCCGGGATCACAACGGAGGAGGAGGTGGAAAAAATTCCTGGCGGCGGCCCTTCCCCGCCACTGCTGTCGCCCGCAGGAGGAGGGGAAGACTCTGGTGGGAGCGCGAGCTTTCGGAGCCGGCCGTGCCGTCTCTCGTGGTCCTCTAGCAGGTCGTCAAAACTTTTTATTTGGATGCAAAAAAGGAAATGAACGCACACATGGGCGCACGTCAAGAACGATTGGTCAACGGGTAGGTATATAGCTGCAGGCCATGCGCCGTGCAAACAGCACATCAACGCTCCCCAGCAGTTTCCTCAAAGGCAAACGGTACTGTTAGGTAGTTAGAGATACACAGCAGTGGTGGAGACCATGCGCCGTGCAAACAAAAAACAAGTCAGAAGGTACCTGCATGAGTGTTAGCCTTAACTCACGTTATTGCTCTCCCCGCGCGGGCGGTGACCGTGTGTCCCATCCTCGGCAGGGCGTGCAGGATCTTTCGGGTGAGGGGGTTGATCGGGACGAGGTTGGCCATGCCCGTGTGGAAGAGCGGGATCACCACGGGCGTGACGGGGGCGTGCGCGATCATCTTGCCGACCCCCCACTTGAGACGGCCGTGCTCGTCGCGGCCCGCGCCCGCCGCCCGCCCGCCGAGGGAGCCGCCCTGCTCGCAGTGCCCCTCTGGTTCGATTTTTTGTTTCATTTTCGGGTTCGATTTCCGGTTCGATTTTGGTTTGTTTCGGATTGATTTCAGTTGGGGGGGG